TGCCTTTTCTAACTGTGGAAATAGTATGGCATAATATCCTCATATTCAGCACGTGTACTGTTTTTATGAACTAGAGCATCTAAAATTAGGACCCCAACATAAGAACATACATTTTAATGCTGAATTCCCATGATAAATTATATATTTCAGATGGAACATTAATGGTGAATTACAAGTTTACTTCTTCATTGTTTACAACTATAACTGTGGATGTCCACTAAAATATATGTTCTGATTCAATACAATCTAGAATCATTTTAATTCTAAAAAAACTCTGTAGAGATTGTAAGACCCTGGGTCCAAACACCAGTCTCTTAGATACAGGAAAGTGGAAATGGAAGTCAGAATGGCTGGATGAATTTAAACTGGAAGAGCTTTGTTTTTTCCACAGCAGCAAGGGGAGGAACCATTGACTTGAAGTAATTCCTATACACTCGCCATCACTCTGCCATATTTGCAAACCTCGGCACACTAATTCAAATAGTGTACATAAGCCAGATGTGGCACAGACCTTTAAACTCAGTCCTTGGGAGAGGCAGAGGCAGAGGCAGGAGGATCTCTGAGTTCAAGGCCAGCCTGTCTACATAGTGAGTTCCAGGCTAGCTGGGGCTACAGGGAGAACGTGACTCAAAAAGAAATAATGTACATGATTATTTTTATGAGAATATTTTGAAAACCATAAAATGGCTGATAAAAAACCATCCACACACTCCTTGAACTGCCTGTCCCTCCTGGACCCCCCCCCCCCCGAATCTGCTCTGAACCAATAGCTCCACGTGGTTCCTGTGGTTGGAATGAACCATCACATCCCCATGAGACAGGTTCCATCTGCTTCCTGTTGTGCACCACCCTGCTCCCTGAGAGGGCTGCTCCCTAGGTCTCCCTGAAGTTTTCTAGGCCCTGAAGGCCCCAGGGTCCTGCCAAACATTGGCGCCTCTAGGCCTCTGCTCTGGCCCCGCCCACTCTACCCCAGATTCAAGTAGCCTCACTCTTCAGACCCCACCCATGCCACACTCCTTCTCTAATCACATTGAATTTGCTCCATCTTCATTCTTTGGGTCACTCCTCTGAGACAGGTGACTCTCTGACCCACTCAGACCCTGCCCATCTCACACACCTCTAGATCCCAAACAAGTGTCTCCAGCTGTCAGACTAGTCCTGGACCCAGTACACAGCCTCTTTACAGGGTTGCTCTGGGCTTAGACCACCCCTGGATCTAGTAAGACAGTTTAGCCTCATTAACAGACTCCCAGCCTCGCTTCTATCCTCTTGAGACACCCCCAAAGACATTGAGCCTGAAACCTAACCTTGAAATTCTATTCTGGGATAAAAACTTAGGAAAAAGACAACAGACTACAGATGCCCAGAGCCCATCCCCAAATACTAAAAACTATGATAAACCAATACCCCCCAAGAAAAAGCACCAATTCCATAGCAGTGTTCCTTAAGAGAGCAATTTAGAAAAATTCTAAGATACAGAGCTCAAAAAGAACACATAAATATGTATGGGGAGTTGAAAGCAAATTGCTATGAAAATTACCGAGACTGACCTGGACAGGAGAGAAGAATCAAACCATGCTCAGGAAGCAAAGTTCATCCTTGGATACACCTTGGCTAACTGCTCCAGAGATACTGAGGCACTGACCAGAAACATATACAGGGTATTCTAGGATTCCTCATCCTTTGGCAGTAATCATTAGGTAATCATTTGAGACTTCCAGCACCGAAGTATAGGTGCCCTTTAGGATATTATGAGAAATTTAAACAGCATTTCTACAAAAGCAGGTATTTCAGGGAAGTATGGTCAAGGATTCTGACATTTTTAGTTACATGCAGTATTGCTGATGCCAGAACCATCTCAGGTATTTGAATAGATAAGACACATTGCAGCAAGTGTCTTCAGGACCACTGCGAGAGGCAGCATTCTTCAAGGCACTCACACACTATAGTTCTATAACCCATATTGGGCTCATTCTTCTTCCTCAATATAAAGGGGAACAAACACCTGAATGACCTTAAATAGATCTGACAAAGGAAAACTACCTTTATTTGGTTCTATACCAGACTTGACGCTTAATGATTTAATTAATGTTTTTCTCTAAACTCTTAACCTGTAAGATATTTTTATTGGTTTGGTGTCATAAATCATGAGACATGACACTGTAAGGACAAACAAGAGACACATCTTTCTCCCTGTCATGACGTCCACTCTTCTTCACTCTCTATTTTCATGTAATATTTATTCCTTTCTTCAAACCATGTCTATGGAAAGGAGAACTCTACACAGAATGAGTGTCCCTTACCCAAAGTGATGGAGGACAAAACAGTTTGGATTTCAGACTTTTCTAGGGATTACACAATATTTTAATATACAGGACCTTTTAAACAACTTTACAGAGTCTATGTTTCAAATTCACTTTATACACATACATCGAAGGCATTTCATGTAGCATTTTAGCACTTCTACATTTTTTCCTTCATTACCTGAGCTCAGGTGCAGAACATACCAACTGCGGCATCAAATCAGCAACCAAAGCGTCCAGATCAGAAGCTTTTTTATATGTTTGGACTGAGGACGTTTAACCTACCAATAATGGGATTTGAGACAAGGTTCTATAGTGAGCATTTTGTAAGATTTTATTCTCAGATTGAAATATTACCATGTCATTTTCATTGGAGGTTTGTGTTAGGAAATATGTGACTTTAGCCCTGCCTCCCTCCCCAGAATGTCTGACATTTAACTGTGGGTATGGCATTTATACTGTGTGGTTCCACCCGTGAGTCATTGGAAATGATTGGTTTTGGATGCTAAGGATTCTCCATTTCTTTTCCTATGGTAGAAATATGCCAAACATACATCACACTAAAATACATTCTCACTCATCAGAAAAAAAAAAAATATATCTACTATGGCGAATTTTCCTTGTCCTTAAATTTTTCAAGGAACTGAAACTAACGAAGCATTGCTAATGCATTGAAGGAAAATATATCCATCCCTTCAACCCTGAGTCAAAAAATGGTATAAATTTTCATAGTATCCTTTATAAATTAGAAAATATGAATTGGGGGGAGCTTTCTGCTGAGATAGGGTCTCCCTGTAGGCCTGCGTGACCTCAAACTCACAATGAACACTATCCTGGCATTGAACTCAGAAATCTGTCTGCCTCTGCCTCCCGAGTCCTGGGATTATAGTTGTGAGCAACCACGCCCAGTGAAAATATAAATTTAGTTGAAGGTAAAATTAGCCTATGGTTTCAAATGTTTCTAAATAAAAGTTACATCTATCAAAATATCATATACCATTTGATGAAAATATATGATTAAGAAATTTTTAAAACATTTTCTAGAACACTTTACCCTATCATATTATAGTGAGTGTACTGTGTCCTGGCCTTTTTATTATGAAATATCCACTGTTGGGTATTTTCCCATTTCATATGCAAATTAAGATACTCCTACTTCATACACGTTAGGACTTTCCAAGTCATCCATATGTGTTAACATTCTCACGTATTCATATTCTATGTAGAGACTATGTGCCAATTCATTGATAGGTGCTTTAGTGACACAGTGTATTATTTGACAGTAAATAATGAGGTAGTAATCTTTGAATTTTGTAAGGTTCCTGTTCACTATGAAATCTCTGATCTTTCCTAAGACAAGCACCACTTGTAAATCATGGCTCACATGATTTTTATCTGTAGCTTTTCAATAAATAAGGATTCTGTGATATTCAACAAGATTGGACAGGAAAGTGAATGCTTTCTCACAGTTTTTATGTTGTTAGTTTCTCACATATATGAATTAAAAATAATTTTTGATTGGAGATTTTGCCATATTGTATATAATCCTAAGTTTTCCTTCAGTACACTATGAAGTTTTGTAATATATAAATACAAGCATTTGAATATTTTCCAGACTTTTGGATATATCCCTCTACTACAGATTCTGTTTGTTTTCTAAGGATTGAGCACAGGGTAAAGAATGTACCACATTCTGTGAAACTGTAAACTCTCTCTCTAGTATGGATTTTTGATAACTGCCACCATTTGACATATGATTAAAGGAATCAACACATTCCTTGTATTTCCTGTGTCTCCCTTTACTGTAAATTCTTTGATGTTCACTAAGATTTGAAATACGAGTACAGGACTTCTCACACCCTTTTCATTTTGGGGTTTCTCTCTACTGTGAATTCTCTGATGTCTTCTATGTGCTGAGCTCTCAGTTTGTCACATTCTCTTTTTGGAATGGTTACTTGAAGTATGAATTCTCTGGTGAAACATTAACTCTGACATACAACTAAAGGACTCATCACATGCTTCACATTTGTAGGATTTCTCTCAAGTATGAATTACACAATATGCCCTAAGGTGAGACATATTTTTAAAGGACTTCTTACATTCCTCACACTTGTAGGGATCCCCTCCAATATTAATTCTCTTATGTGTCTTATAAGTTGAGCTCACTGGAAAGGAGTTACCACATTCTTCACATCTGTAGGGTTTCTCTCTAGTATGTATTCACTGATGTTCTCTCCTAATTGACAAGAGTCTAAAGGACTTGCCACATTGTTCACATCAGTAGGACTTTTCTCCAGTATGTATTCAGTGATGTACTCTAAGATGCGACATTTCACTAAAGGCCTTGGCACGTTCTTCACATCTGTAGGGTTTCTTTCCAGTATGTATCTGCTTATGTCCTCTAAGAACTGACATTTTACTAGAGGACTTGTCACTTTCACATTTGTAGGGTTTCTCTCCTGTATGCATTCACTGATTAATTGAAATGTTCACATAGGAGTAAAGGCCTTGGCACATTCTTCATATCTGTAGGGTTTCTCTCTAGTATGTATTTGCTGATGTACTCTAAGACCTGACATTCGACTAAAGAACTTGCTGCATTCTTCACAGCTGTAGGGTTTCTCTCCTCTGTTTTCGCTGGTGTACTCGAAGATGTGACATTCGACTAAAGGACTTGCCACATTCTTCACATCTGTGGGGTTTCTCTCCTGTATGTATCCACTGATGTACTCTAAAATGTGACCATTTACTAAAGGACTTGTGACATTCTTCACATCTGTAGGGTTTCTCTCCAGTATGTATTCGCTGATGCACTCTAAGATCTGACATGTGACTGAAGGACTTGCCACACTTTTCACAACTGTAGGGTTTCTCTCCTGTATGTATTCGGTGATGTACTTGAAGATGTGACATTCGACGAAAGGACTTGCCACATTCTTCACATCTGTAGGGTTTCTCTCCAGTATGTGTTGGCTGATGTACTCTCAGTTGTGATATTTGACTAAAGGACTTGCCACATTTTTCACATCTGTAGGGTTTCTCTCCAGTATGTATTCGCTGATGCACTCTAAGACTTGATATTTGACCAAAGGACTTGCCACATTCTTCACATCTGTAGGGTTTCTCTCCTGTATGCATTCGCTGATGTCTTCTAAGATTTGGCATTTGACTAAAGTACTTGCCACATTCTTCACATCTGTAGGGTTTCTCTCCAGTATGTATTCGCTGATGTACTCTAAGATCTGATGTGTGACTAAAGGACTTGCCACATTCTTCACATCCGTAGGGTTTCTCTCCAGTATGTGTTTGCTGATGTACTCTGAGTTGTGATATTCGATTAAAGGACTTGCCACATTCTTCACATCTGTAGGGGTTCTCTCCTGTATGCGTTCGCTGATGTCCTCTAAGATGTGACATTTGACTAAAGGACTTGCCACATTCTTCACATTTGTGGGGTTTTTGTCCAGTATGACTTCCCTGATGTAATTTAAAACTTGACATCGAAGTAAAGGACCTGTCACATTCTTCACATCTGTAGTGTTTCTCTACATTACACACCCTTTGATGTCTTCTAAAAGTTGCATTCTCCGTGCAAAGAAAAAAAGAAGACAACAGTTTAATATGGACAATAGGGCTGAGACAATCACACACAGATAGATAAGGAACATGTAATATGCATGAATACAATTTCCAGCATTGTGAAACATTGAAATAAACAAAATTAAAAATCTATGGCGTAAGGCCAGGTGTGGTGATACATGCCTTTAATCCCAGGACTTGGGAGGCAGAAGCAGGTGAATCTCTGAGTTTGAGGCCAACTTGGTCTACAAAGAGATTTCCAGGAGAGTTGGGGCTACAAGGTATCAATTATTCCTTAATGACAGTTCATATTTCATTGAAGTCTCTTTTAACTACTCACCTCCCCTGTATTTTATTAATTTGTTTTTACTAGCACTTTTTTTGATTCCCTTGTCCTGTCTTTGGTCAATGGATAGAGTGATGATTTCATGTATTGTTTTATATTCTGTCTTCTTTTTTCTTTTCTATGGGTTATTTATCACCATCTGTTAAAAAAAAAAAAAAAAAAAAAAAAAAAAAAAAAAAAATCTATGGCATAAAAGAGGGAGATGAAATCAAAACTAAAGTGAGAAAAGAAATGAGAAAATATATGAAAAATAGAGAAATACATGGATGTACAGTCACAAGAGAGTCATTTAGAAAGTGTTGAGCTTCTTCATTCAGGGGAAGATTGGATTATTCCATTTCTATGTTATTTATATTGTTTCACACCTGTATTTGAGATCATGAGTTTTATTCATAAATTTTTTTCTTCAAAGAAGAAATCTGTAGGATTTTGAAAATTTCCATCTTGGTTATAACAATGACCCAAAATTCAGTCAAATGAAAATACAGCAATGCATGCAAATACAATCACATAACAAGCCATAGAAAATAAAATTTAAAAAGCAAAGAAAAAAATCAATACTTAATCCTGTTAGGGAAAAATACCAACTCATTATAAAGGCAAAATTTGTAATAATATCTCTTGTCAAGAATGACCAGAGGAAAAACAGTGTGAAATAATGTAAAAATACATTTGTTGTACTGAAAGTGAACATATTAAAGGTTAAGTCCTAAAAGTAAAGTCCTTGGTACAAGATTTACTCAAAGACAAGCAGCCACGTTTGTTCCTGTAGTGGGCAAGCAAGCAGTTCAGTCAATTTTTAACACCATTTGTTTTAGATGATGCTGGCTTTGCAACCCATGCTGTGATCTTTGCTAGAATAATTTCTATGAAATCTGAAATTTTTTTATTCTTCTTCTAACAATCTTTGGATATCATTGAAAGCCTGTTCATCTATAAAGTAACTCACATCTTGAGGTTGTTTGCTCCAAATTTTGGGAAAATGTATATTCTTTCAGCTGGTCCTTTGTTTTCCATAATTAATTGTAGGTTTCTGGATATCATTGTCAGTAAGTGTATTTCTTGGACAGAAGAGATAGTTCAATCTGACTTTGAACCCACTCTTCTTGACTCTGTGTTATAAGTGGTGACTTGAGGCTATTTTCATTTATATTATTGTGAGAGCATTTTTTATTCAATATGATTTTGCTGGTGTTTTGGCTTTTAGAATTGTTGGTTAGTATTAATTATTAAGTATAAAACTAATTTTAAAAATTAGTATTTATTAACATTAATATTGGCCTTACATTGTTTTATGTGTTGCTGATGGTGGATTCCTTCTGGGGCATGGTGTGTTCATCAGTTACTCTTTACAATTGTATTCTGACTTCTGTTCCCATGAATGCAAGTGCTTTTCTTCTCTGAGTATACTGTTTGTTCCCATGAATTCTGAAGTGATGGCTAGCTTGCCATAAATTGGTACATTTCTTCAAATGACCTCCTTCCTCCATCACTTTTAACAGATACCTCCTCTGCAAGTCAATTTTAGTTACAAAAATGCCCATGCCTTGCCACTCAGTGCAGCATTCTCTAAATTGGCTCAGAGAGTGCAGTCTCTGGCAAGCTAAAGGAATTCAGCTGATTCAGAAAAAATAAAAAATGATCCTGTATTTTCAAGTAATAGTGGAAGAAAACCACAAAGTAGAAAAGAAATGAAAGTCTGTGGAAATACTTGTTTATTGAGCAAATTTCATTTGAATGAATTTTGGGTCATTGTTATAACCAAGATGGGAATTTTCAAAATCCTACAAATTTCTTCTTTGAAGAAAAAATTTTATGGATAAAAATCATGACCTCAAATACAGGTGTGAAAAAAAAATAACATAAAAATGGAATCCAATTTTCTCCTGAATGAAGAAGCTAAACACAGTGCATTAGATGGTGAGAAATAACCCATAGAAAAGAAAAAAGAAGACAGAATATAAAACAATACGTGAAATCCATCACTTTACCCATTGATAAAAACTGACCAAAGACTGGACAAGGGAATCAAAAAAAGCGGTAGTAAAAACAAATTAATAAAATACAGGTGAGAAGGAGTTCTTAAAAGAGACTTCAGTGAAATAGAAACTGTCATTAAGGGAGAATCGATGCATGCTCAAAAAAATTTTAAAAATGGATCCAGAAGAAATGAATGAATTCCTTTTTGACCTGTTGATATTAAATGCAAAATAAAGACACGGAAGCAGCATTTCAGTGTCTTCAAGGAATGACAGCCCAACTCTAGATGGGATCACTACTGGTATCTCACAAATATTTTTTTTTCAGTCACTTAACACCATATTTGAAATACAAACAAAAACTACAGTTACATACAAAGTCAGATATTGTCCATGTATCAATATTTAGGTTTGAATTTGTGTATTATATGTGTGAGCATTTAAATGGAGGAGGACTGATAATGGTATGTGATATACTTTTTAAAAAATTCCCACACTTTTTATTAGTTTTATGAGAATTTCAAAGAAAGTACTTTTATTGCATTCACCTCCACGGCTAGAAGTCATCGCAAATCCATCCCTTCACAACCTACACAATAGTTTGTTCTTTGATTATGTTTTTAGTTTATTTTTTACACAAATAAAATTTGCACTGAACTGAACATAAACACTTGAATACGGGGCCATCCATGGGGAGAAGCCGACATACCTGGGGCCTCACCCTTGAAGAACCCTGACTCCCTCCCAGCACCTATCAATTACCAACAGCTCAGGACCAATGTGGAATTTGTGCCCAGGCCCTCTCTTCATTCTGGGAATAAAGGCATGTGTCACCACACTGGCTTGTTCTTTGTTTTTTGGATGTTATCCGTGGTGAGTGGATAATAAATCTCAAAATGGTTTTAAATTACCCTTATCACTACTGACATAGAACATTTTAAAAGAAAATCTCAGACATTTATATTTCGTCCTTGGAGAACAGCTTGTTCGGCTCCTTGCCCCGTATTAAATGGGTTGATGTTTAGCGGTAGTAAATGAAGTGCAGATAGGGGAGAGTATCTAAATACAATCAACATATACGAGATGAAATTTTTTTAATTGAATAAAAAAGAAAAGAAATTGAACCCATAGAATACTAGGCACATGAAAACAAAATTTCCTATATTGGGAAAAGATACATTGGTGCGTGCATGAAATTTTCAAATGATTAATACAACTTTCCAAAAGTATGCTGAGGGGCTGGAGAAATGGCTCAGTGGTTAAGAGCACTGACTGCTCTTGCAGAGGAGCCAGGTTCGATTCCCAGCGCCCACATGGTGGCTACGAACCATCCTGAACTCCAGTTCCAGGGGAATCCGAAGCCCTCTCTGACCTCTGTGGCATTGCACAACAAGGGCGCACTCACCTACATGCAGGCAATACACTCAATAGACATTTAAAAAAAAAAAAAAAAGGCCGTTGAAGGTGGAAAACTGAGAGATGAGTCAAGTATTGAATGGGAAGAGTCATGTGGGACATTTATAGTGTTCTATGCATTCTTACTCTATTGTTTCTAGTTTATTTGAGAAGGGGTTTCTCTGTAGCCCCAGTTGGCCTGGCATTCACTATGTAGAACAGGCTTTCTTTGATCTCACAGAGATCCACCTGCCTCTGCCTCCCTAGTACTGGGAATAAAGGCAAGCACCCTCACAGCTGTCAATTTGTAGTCTTAGCAGCAACTTGCATTGAATAATTTCATTGGTTGGTAAAATTAATATCAGTGTAATCAAGTATATCGAAAATTTTCTAAGATAATTAAACAAATTTATAACTTTTTTAAGTTAAAAGGAAAAAACTGTTGAATTAAAAGAAAATTCTGTGACTTTACTATTCCACTTGAGTGCCTGAGATAGTTGAATACACATAAACAGATATTTTCCCCCTTCTGCAAACATTATTTCACTTATAGGGTGAATATGAGGAAAGAATATAATATTTGAATGGCATTATTAGAAATCCCATTACTGAGCTTAAATCTCCCAGGCACAGCTCATCAGGGAGTCCAAGGTAGGAACTCAGGGCAGGAACCTGGAGAATAGGCCATAGAGGAACGCTGCTATCTGGCTTGTTCACCTGGCCCCTGCTCAACATACTTTCTTATGCAACATAGGCCCACCTGCCCAGGGATGTCACCACCCACAGTGGGCTGGACCCTCCCACCTCACTCCACAATCAAGAAGATGCCCCACAGATATGATCACAGGCAAGTCCAATGGAGACAATTCTTCAAGTGAGGATCCCTCAATCCAGATATGTCAAAGTGACACTAAAGCTATCCAGCACTACTGACCCCTTGTCAACTTCACACAAACACATCACTATTAAATCACAACCTTTCCATTTCTTATCCCAAAGATATGATGTTAAAATTAGTATCATTATAAGAAAGTACAACCTTAAAAGCAAAACAGTCCTTTAAAAAAATCTAACACAGGGGGATCCTGTCTCAAAAAGACAAAAAACAAAAACAAACAAACTAAACATTTAAAAGTTCACAGACTCTTTTAAAAGTCTCTTAACTTTGGGCTCCTGTAAAATCTAAAACAAGTATTGTCTTATATCAAAAGGGAAGAATGAGGCACACCTAAGCAAAACCTAAGTCCAGGAAAGCAGCTCAAGGCTGCACATCTGAGATTTGCTCA